GAGTCTTGACTCATCATGGTGAGTGAGAGTGGGCTCAGGTGGAGAAGACAGTATGTGCAAATGGATGGAGGCTGCAGAGCATGTTGAATTCAGGGAGCTACATTGTACGGGCGTACCTCGGAAATATTGCGGGTTTGGTTCCAGAGCACCGCAATAAAGTGAGTATTGCAATAAAATGAGTCATACTCTTTTTGCTGGGGTGGTGGGGGGAGGTGCCTCTTCCTTTCAATTTCTAAAAAAGGCAGCCTCTCTGAAGCTCAGTAAAGTGAAGTACAGTAAACTGAGGTGTGCCTGTAGTTCAGTATGGGTGGAGGATACACTGTGTGGTGTGGTGGGATGGGGCGAGAAGAGAGAAATAAAGTTGAAGTGGCAGATCATATAAGGATATATATGATTTCTGTTTGGGGGACCCGAGCCCGTATCTCAGTTAGAGCTTTGTCCTGATGTGCCAGGGTTGCGGGTTTGACCCGTCAACCAGTGAATGCCCAGATGGGTGGAACAGCAAACTGATGTCTGTCTGTCTGTCTCTCTCTCCTGCCCTCTCCTTCCTCTCTCTCTAAAGTCAATCAATTAAAAAAAAAATCTGTTTGGGAAAGGTAGGATGTTTGACTACAATTGTAGAATTTTACCTTTTAAGGGTCTCACATTAATTTTGCTTGTTGGTGGCTGAGGCTTCAGAATAGACCGAGTGTCTGTCCGAGACCTGCCCAAGATCCAGGTCTCCGTTGGACGGGGCTGCTTACTACTGTCCGGTTAAATTAAAGCCTTCCTAGAGTAGCAGTTAACTTCTTGTGTAAAAGACACATTGTAGATTACAGTTAGCTAGTGTGTCAGGCTTGATTTTGCTTACTGGCATTACCCAAATTTTACTTGTTCATATCTGGCAAAACTAAAAGGGGGTACTCAGAAAGTTTAAGATTCCATTGTGGTAAATACATAATTTTATATAGTCACAATAGTAAATAAAGAAAAAGATAAGTAACTTAAAAAAAAAAAAGGATTTATTTACTCATTGTTAGAGAGAGAGGGAGGGAGGGAGAGAGGGAGAGAGACATTGATGTGTGAGGGGAACATAGATTGGTTGCCTCTCACATGCCCCCAACAGGGACCTGACCTGCAGCCCAGGCATGTGCCCTGACTGAGAGTCAGCTGGGCGGACCTTTTGGTTTGCAGGGTGACACCCAACCAACCCCCTGAGCCACACCAGCCAGGGCAATATAAGTCACTTTTTAACCTGTCATTGTAGCCAGTCACAGATCGAGGAGTCACTGATCTTTTTCTTTTTGCCAAATACCTATTGGAGAAAAGCTTGTCAGCTGGGTCTTTGAATTAAAGAAATTTCCTAAGCTCGGAGCCTTTTATCAATCACTTGCCCTAAAGTAGATGATTTATGTATATCCTCCAGCTCTCACAACAGTTGAACAAGATGGTTATTTTCCCCCCATTTCAGGAAAAATAGGCACAGGGTAGTTAATTAAATAAAAATAGTGGTAAATCTGGGATTTGAATCCAACTCTTACTCAGACCGATGCCCTGCCTTCTAAGTTAAAATGTGCTAAGTTAATTTGCACTCAGTTTCAGATGGCTTATGAGCATGCTGACTTGGTAATATATCGTCTTAGGAACCAATCTGTGTTTCTTGTCTATCCTCTTTTAAAACTATTTAAGTCACCAACCAAAGACCCCGATTTCTCAGAACATTTCCTGATCTGTTTAATGTGTTGTACTCTGTGAGGCAGATGGTTTGGGGTGTACGTTTGTGTATTGATGTGGCTTAGGAGTCTGCTTTTTACTGAACAACTCTGATATCCTTTGCCTTTGTGTTGAATAGAATTGAACACATGTTGGGGTTACTCCTAGCAGTGATGTGGGTTCTTCTAGTTAGGAATCATTTTGCCGGCTAGATCTGTTTGCTGAGGATCTAGAGAATGGCAGCCAGATCTAGCCATTCTATTAACTTGTTTGTCGTCAGGAGGTGGGAGTAGCATCTGTCTCTGTGTCTCCTCAGGCCTCCTGCTTTAGCGTTGACCTGTAAAACCAGGGACAACACTACTAGCCAATGGTCTCAGGGCTGGGTGGGGGGGGATTTTAGACATAGTTACTGAATTCCGTAATAAGCACTCTTTGCGACCATGAAAGGAATTTGTAAAGGCAAATATAAAGAGTTCTTTTTTCCTCAGGAGGTAGAATAGATCTGGAATCATGACATGAAGCAATTTACAGGCTTACCATGTAAAAAAGATTCAGGAATCAGAGCAGGTAACTAAAGTGACGTTAGTGATGTTCCATCCCAGGTCTTTGAGGAAGATGTCATGAATAGGTCAGTAGTGAGCCTCCTGTTATCTGCTCTTTGCTCCCACAAACACAGCACTGGATTGGATGGACCCTAGGGATTAGTTAGTAGTGGCCCTGACTTTGTCAAGTACCGTGCAAAGCCTTTACATACACTATCTCATTTAACAGACCTGTAAGGTAGATGCTGTTATTAATCCTTGTTTATAGTAACGTTAGGGTCCAGCCTACTCCAGGCATATGGACTGAGAGTGTAAAGGGGGATAGGTCTGCAAAGAAAAATCGGAATGCCATTAACGGAAGAATGGGAGAGTGGTTGCTAGGCAAATACTAGATGGCCACGTTAGCTTTTCTTAGGGTTTTCTTTGTTTTTTTTTTTCAGTCACTCATTGTATTTTTTCTAGTTATTCTGAGTTCAGAATGTTGTTTGTTTTCAGAAAATGCATTAGGCTTTGTCCTTCCTTGAGACTTCTAGTACAGCCCTTTCATTTAATGTCCAGAATCTGAGGTCCAAATTAGGGTATTACTTGCTTAAAGTCATATAACTAAACTACCAAATGGCTTGGATGAAGACTTAGGAGAGGTTTAACTTTATCATTATATGACCCTGCCTTCCCATGCATGTGTCTTATTTTTGAGTTAGTTCATATTAAATGAATGTTCTCAGTTTCACTTCGGGCAGGATGCTCAGATGGCAGTGTTGAACGCATGTGTAATGACGAGTTATGTCTTCGTTGCCTCACATCTCTCCACAGCTTTTCCTACTCCCCTTGCCTTTATCTGTAAAGACTTTAAAGTTGTTCCCAGGTGAGCCTTCTCAGGCATCTCAGCCACTTTTAGCACCTTCCCAGCTCTGGTTTTAGGTTATATTTTCTCTCTTAAACCTTCCACACTCTTTTTGGGCTAGACTTTTCTGATTCTGTGACTTTCTTCCCTCCATCTGTGATGTAGAGGCAGGCTTGTGTTTTCTGTTTGGTTCATCCTGCTTCTTAGCATCTTTGTAGAATATGGGCAAACTGTTCTAGTCCTCGGAGCAGCTGCACAGATACCTGGCATGATCCCTCTCCTTGAAGAGCTCACTGTCTAGTAGAGGGCACAGATACTTAAATCGTTCCTTGATCTTTTTGGTGATTGTAGGAGGGGCTGCTGCTTTTCTCCATCTTTCCCAGCGGTGATGTTTGAGCTGGACCTCGAGGGAGGAATAGCTCTTCAGCAAGTGCAGGAGGAGGAGGAAGCACAGGAAGGCAGGAAGGGATGGGCATGTTTGGTGAATGGTGTGGCCGAAACATTCAGGATTGCAAAGGACTTTTCAAAGTTGTTTAAACAGTTTACCTGCTACTTGAATCCCTCTTCTCTACCTGACTCCCAGTTGCTGGTCTAGCCTTTGGTTGCCCAGCTCTGATGACAGAAAATGCTCTCATATCCCTCTAGTCTTAATTTTATTCCATAAACTTTTAAAAATCTATTGATTTGAAAGAGAAAGAAAGGAGTGGGTGGGGGAGCGGAGAGAAACACTGATTTGTTGTTCCATTTATTTATGCATCCATTGGTTGATTCTTGTATGTGCCCTGATTGGGGAATTGAGCCCTCAATCTTGGAGTATCAGGACGCTACTCTAACCAACTGAGCTACCTGGCCAGGCCTTGCTCCAAATTTTCGAATTTACCATTGAGATACTACAGTTGATGTTTATTCAACAGCTACTTTGTGCTAGGCTTGTGAGAAGTAATGGGGATACAATGGTGGACTAGACAGGCCAGGTCCCTTCCCCTGTGGAACATTCTAATAGTGGAGTCAATCAGACATTGAACAAGTAATTAATTCCTTGTTGATGAGTACATGAATTGTTACAGAAAATTATAACGGCTCTTTGACCTTTTGAGACAAAGGTAAGAGGAAAGAAAAAGCACTCTGAGGAAATACTTGAACTGATAATGAGTGGAAAGCTAACTGGAGAAAGTAGGCAGTCACTGCAGGAGAAAAAAAACGTCAGCTGCGTATAGAACGCTCACTGTGTGTGTGCCATTTGCTGTGCTTGGTGTCTCTCCTCAGTGTTGTAGCCGCACACCAGTCAGCTGCATGTAGCTCAGACTGTTCGGGCCTGAGTGTGCTTTGCGAGGTGTTTATCCCTATCTGAATACCACACTTACTAATAGAAGACTTGCTCTTTTTTATGAATATAAGTAAAATTCTTAAGCATCTGTGAAATTTTTAAGTAAAATTACCCTGTTTGTATTTGTTGTAAGTTCCTATTTAGTATATTTTGCTTTCTTCTGGAAAATGATTAAGTAGCACATGACAAATATTAAATGAGTTGTAATTTTTTCGTGAATTATTCCAGCTAATAGTGCAGCTAACTCATAATTATTTGTGCTTTTTGTTCGGTGAGATCCCACTGTGTGCCAAGGACTGTATTAAATAAGCATTTTATATCAGTATCTCACTTAATCCTCATTACTACTCTGGTAAATGCTGTTACTATCCATTTTTTGGTTACTTACCCATTTTTTTTGATATAAAGGTATTGAAATGGAGGCTCAGAGAGGGATAGCTAGTAGCTCAATGTTACAGAACTAGGATTTAAATCCAAATTCGACTTCTGAATGTAGATTTTTAAAATACTATATGATATTTGTGTTTTCATATTTGGAGTCACCTTGGAGTAATTCACAAATCATAATTATTTTTCCCTGTTGTTTTCTCTGTAGGTTTTTGTCAGGATGAATTGACAGAGCTCGACCCAGGAAGTAGTAAGTTCTGACTATTCTCCAGGGTTAATGACTAGAAAAGGGTGTATGTGTGTGTGCTTTTAAATGTATAACTTAAGGTGTCATTGATAGTCCTTATTGACTCACTTTGTTTTCACTTTAATTTGTTATTATGGGGAGGGCATTGTATCTTTTCTAGTTATATATTTTTTTTCTTGTGATATTATTTAGTGGCCAGGATCAAGCCATTTCACAGAAAACTGGGTTGCTGAAACTTTCCATTTGGTTCTAATCTCCTTGCCCTCCATCCATCCTCCCATGAAACCAGTAACAATGCACACTGTGCTTTCATTTTTGTACGCATACAGCCTACATTCACAGCCACTTTTCTAAAGTATTGACTAGTTTTGACACAATTTCTTTCAAAGACGGTTTGTGCGTGGTTTCCAGGGGTGTCCAGCCTGTGGCCCACAGGCCACGTGTGGCCCAGGATGGCTATGAATGTGGCGCAGCACAAAATTGTAAATTTACTTAAAATGTTTTTTTTTTTTTGCTGATCAGTTTTCATTAGTGTTTCTATATTTAATGTGCGGCCCAAGACAATTCTTCTTCCATTGTGGCCCAAAGACGCCAGAAGGTTGGACACCCCTGGTAGGCACTTAAAATTGATAACTTTTATGCTAGAGTTTAATTTCTGAAGCACTTTTCATTTATATGCTTAAGGGATTAAAATGAGAGTAACCATTTCAAGGTCTCATTAAATGATGCTTTTCAGGACTATGTAAGTCTTGGTCATAGATAATCATCTGTGTTTCCAGTGCTCAAAATGTGGCATACATTATTCTTGGAGATTGTTAGAACTATTAGAAATAGGATGTGGGGATATCCAGTGTATACAGACTTTATTTTGCTATAATGCCAAAAGTCTAATGATGATTTAGATTGAGAGTCAATGAGATGATCTAGAATTATTTTTCTAGTTCTGGTACTTTTTAGGGTCATGGGACTGGCTTCTTGTCACCAGTCTAGTGTTGGGGTAGGTGCTGCAGTCCACCTTCTCACCATCCTGGCTGATGTCATCTCTGTGATGTCATGGAACTTCTCATATATTTGCCCCTCACACCTTAATAGTATAAATAAACATTTGTGTTTGTTCAACTAATACTTATTGTTTGCAAGACAAAATAAATCCCAGAATACTTATCAAACACCAGGGACATAAATTGGTCTTTCTAGAAATTGGAAAGTTCAGAATCAGTTTTGTAGGTAGTATAGGTTCAGTTTACCCTGCCCTGCCACCCGAGATTCCAGTACCTATGTGTGCATATACTACAGTATATTCTCTTTGTTCTCATATGAATAGCCTTGAGTTATGGTTCTTCCTTAGAAGCACTTTTCTACACTAGGAAGGTCATTGAGATGTCCTGTAATCTTTTGGACAAAACTACATATAAAACATTCCAGATAATTGAGAACTCAAATATTGAGTGTTCTCTTCTGCTCTAGGCCGATTTCTGTGCTCCAGGGATAAAACAAATAAGTCTGGGTCCTACCTTCATGTATTAAATGTCTATTGGAAAATATTTTCTTGTCTGGAGTTATTTTAAAAAACATTTTTTAAAGTAGGTACAAAGTACCCAACCTTATTCTCCTTTTCTGCACTTAGTAGCAATTGAAAACAGATCATGCCCCTCTTCTTATGTTTTTTCGTAAGATTGTTATTGAATAATAAATCTTTCTGGACCAACTAGTTCTAACTCATTTAACATTTTTGCATAGCATCTCTACCTAGATATGATGATTTACAGACCTCTCCATTCCGGGAGAATGAACAAATGTATTAGTACAGAATAGGAGTCACCTAAAAACACTTTTCTTTTGAAAGTTGTGCTTAGCTTATGTGGCTAATCTCAATAAAACCTGTGTTATCTTTGTGAAATTAGTAGTGTTTTATTCTTTCTCTTTGAAGAGAGATACACGAAGGCCTGATGTTATTATAATAAGCGGGCAGAAATAAAAGCTTATCACTTTGATTTGAACTAGTTTTGAGGTTCAAATGAGCATGCTCATCCTAACTGCTGAGTGATGGGGAAAATCTCAAGACTAAGATGGCCTGTGTGTGTTGTGTTCAATTGTTTGCAAGCTGTTGATACTGCAGATTCCTTGGCCTGTGCCTGGGAAGAAAGGACATCTCCTATGTTAATACTTCATGACTTTTGCACATAAAATTGAGAACAATAGGGATTTCTTTGTGGTGCATCTTGGGAATTTAGAGGTCCCAGTGGCTTCCCTAATTCCGGAATTCCTGATAGGGAAAGCCTGCTCATACTTGTTTAATTTGGAACAGGAAGTACCATTGTTGCTGATTTCCCATTGTGCCTGGCAGTGGTTGTAGACAGTAAGTTGGAGACAACAGGTGGGATCTGTTGGAACTGGATGAGGAAGGACTAACTTTGTTCAATTCAAATGACCTTTTTTTTTTTGGCACCTTTTCTGTGATAGAGCAGATAGGTAGCCAGCCATGTTTGTAATATGGGCAGCTGTTCATACTCTAGCTGCCTTCCTATGATTCCTGGGCTTCCTGGAGTCCAATGTTAGGGCACAGGTTCAGGCTAAGTTCATTTCTACAAGAAGCATCTCTGTACCCTGCCTATTAGCATAAGCTAGGGACAAGGGCAGTGAAAGGTCAAGAGGAGTTCAAAACAGCATAACCTTTCTGTGCTTCTGTTTCCAAATAACCCCAGTCTGCCATGCTCCCCGAGTTTTTTCCTCAGCTACCATGTTTACCACGTAGTTGTAAAACTCGAGAGAACAAGGACTGACTTGATACAAGGGAAGTTAGCCAATGGAAGTCATTGTTGCTTAAAACAGGAGAAATAATTGATTTATGTTTGGGGGCCAATTAGGTTATAAAACAGGAACAGTAAAGGGACCTGTGACTTGAGGACAGCTCCTTGCTCTGATTTCTGTCCCATAGACAAGGGGCTCCCCAATAAAGGCTGTCAGCTTTCTAGGCTAAATTATTAATTCCTTTCATGCCTCTCAGGGATTGTAAACAGCACATAACACAGGAAAACAATTGATACTGTTCAGTCATTGGCCAAGAGAGGGTCAAAGGGTAAATAGTTGGATTAGCAACAGCTGTTCTTCCTCCAAAGTCAAACTTTTGTCCCTAATTATCTATTTCAGCAAAGCCATTTTTGAGTTTTTGGCCTGTACATAGTTAAATCCATTTTTCTTGTTACAAAGTAATTGTACAAATAATTAGAGAGTAAACATTGACCAGAATTGAAAATATTCATTTTAATTCCATTTCTGGAGTTAAAGATGAGCATTCTTTTTGGTATGTGCTGACTACAATATGTTGTTTGATGTTCAGAGGGTTTTATCCCAGGGAAAGTAACTACTTGGAAGTTAAGAGTAGGAGCTTTTTAGCTGTTTTTACCAACTGCTGAAGGATCTTAGTGTAGCTTGATTAAAAGAAAAAAAAATGCCTTTGTTTACATTGATAGTAGGACAGTGCATGCTCATTGTGGAAAACATGAAAAGAAAAATATAAACACCTCTAATCTCACCACCTGGAAATAGCCAGTTTCTTTTTGAGACTGTCCTTCCATTTGCATGAACTTATTTTTTACATAAATAGGAATTGTAATATAAATATAATTTTATACTCCATTCTCTCAACTCAGCATTATATTAGCAACATTATTCCAAGTCATGAAACATTTTTTAATAAATATTTTTAATGGCAGGATATTTCATTGTAATAACTTTACCATGATTTATTTATCCATTGTCCTGTTGGTGGACATTTAGATTGCTTCAGGTTTTTTGTATGTTACAAATAATGTCACAATGAACATGTTTTTATATAAATTTTTTCTCTGCATTTCAGTTGAACCCTTTTAGCTTTTTATACAAGCCAAAACTCTTTAGAATTGAGACCATGGCTCTGGTTTAAGATTGCTTGGCTTCAATAATTACCAACTCTGCAATCTTGGCCAAGTTATTTAATCTCTGTGCTTCAGTGTTTCCATCTGTAAAATGGGGACAATAAAAAGTTACTCCTCCTTTATTGGGCTGTTGTGAGGCTTAAGATAAGTATTAAATGTATTTAGAATAATGTTTGGCAAATGGTAAACACTATTAAGTTTATGCAACGTAATGTTAAAATGCTCAGTCTCTCTGTTCTTGTGGGCTGTTGTAACTGCACTTTATTCAATTAGACTTGCCTGTATTTCTTAATGACATGGAGATAAATCATTCCAGATGTTAGCAGGTGTAAGTTACTGCTTCGCAAGTAGCTCCCTCTGAGGAACAGCGCTCACCACTTTGGCCAAGACTGGTTTTTACCATCTGGTTGACTGTTAGAATGTTTTGGGCCCCTTCCCCCAACCAGTAGCAGGTAACTTCCCAAATGACCATCTGCCATCCCATTTATTTAACCTCTTAGGAAATTAACTCTCTGCTTACTTAAAACAAATAGATTATGTACTTTCTGTTTGGCAAGTAGCACGACCTTATAGAGAGTGCACTGAGGTAAACATGTGTACAATGACTCTTACCGTTTAAAAAATACTGCATATTCAGATTTTTGCTGACCTAGACTTTAAAACATATATATGTATATACTGTTTTCTACTAAGCAGAGACCTAGACAAATGAACATTTTAAAAGAAACTTGAAAGTTGAATTAATCTTTGCTCTTTCTTGCTGGACTGATAGACGTCCACGAAGCGGGGGTCTGTGGGTGAACAGGCAAGATAAAAACAGCTTCAAAACCAGACAGCCCGACACCGCTAGCCTGCTCTGTCCGGTTTTGCATGTATCTGTCAAGTGTTTGGGGGTTCCAAGGAGACTTTTTGTGGATCCTTCAAGCTACAAAAGAGAAATGTACATTCCAATTAGAGTAACCGTAGTTTCTATTCAGAATTCTAATATTCTGTACCATCTCCTAATGGGTCCATTCCTAGTTGTCAAACTATATGTCTCAATTTTGGTATCAGAAAATAATTCGTATAAGCCCAAGTGTGGTCTGA